GGCAAACTTTTTAGCAGGGCCTGTTGCGACAGGACAAGGGGGAATGGCTTTAAACTGAAGGGGGGTAGATTTAGACTAGATCTAAGGAAGAACTGTTTTACGCTGAGGGTGGTGAAGCACTGGCCCAGGTTGCCCCGAGAGGTGGTGGATGCCCCATCCCTGGAAACATTCCAGGTCAGGTTGGACGGGGCTCTGAGCAACCTGATCTAGTTGAAGATGTCCCTGCCCATGGTAGGGGGACATGGATGACCATGGATGACCCATGGACTAGATGACCTCTAAAGGTCCCTTCCAACCCAAACTATTCTATGATTCTATTCTATGATTCTATTCTAAGAAAGGCCACATCAGAGCCCCGCTCCCGAAGAGGCACTGCTGTTCACTCCATGTCCCTCCCTGGCAGCTGCCCGCGAAAGCAGCCTCTCCCCTCCCTGTATGGCCTTGGTCCCCCCTGGAGGCCCCCGGCCTTTCCCTGGAAACGCAGGGCTTGCAGCCTGGGCTTTGTTCCTCACAAAGATAAACTGTGACATGAAATAACTGCTGACCTTTAAAAGGCAAGAAATAGGGCAAGTCCTTTTATTTTAAAGGCAATTTTTATACAAGGTGAAAGGTGGCGAACTTTTCTTAAATGGGAAAGTTCAAGTTCATCCCATTGTTTGGTAGGTCCCCAAAGTTTGGAAAAACTGTAATGGTTTTTCTGCACAGCACGTGCAGGTAGCTCAGAGATTTCCTTTTGTGAACACTTGCATGTTGATTCCCCAAGCTACCCCATCACTAAATTGTTTCCGGTACAGCCTTTAATTTATTATTGTTGCAAAACACAAATAGACCTACGGTCCTTGTCATAAAAAGATTGCTGTCTCAGATACACGAGCTTAAGTGTTACCATTTTCTGCATCTCCTTCTCCAGTCTCACATTCCAACGTGAGGAACAGCTCCTACTCCCAAAACATTTCTAAAACTCCCACAGGCACAAGCCTTCCTTAGATAAAATCGCTAGATTTTCAGCATCCTGTTTCAGTCTGTTACACAGGGCTAGTCTTACACATGACCAAGAAAGCCAATATATGGAACTGGCTACACGCATGAAGCCCAGCTGTGCATCCACAGCACCAGGCACAACGATATAAGGAAATACGTATTTCATACTGAATACAAGATTTGTTTCCCATACAGTCCTCCCAGGTTATATGAACATTGGGCAACCTAATTTCCTCCAAGTAAGCATTCCTTTAAAATCATTTCCTCTGCTATAGCATTAGCAATATTTTCTTTGATTTTTAACCAGATAATCCCAAAATTCACAACAAATTCAGGACTTCCA